CAGCATTCTCGGTCATAAATGAAATGCCTATTTTAAGGCGAGTCTGGGACATGACTGAGCAGGCAAGACCTCACAGCTCCTCTTAAATAAAGGTGTTCATGTCACCGGTTTCAAAAATTTTGGAAGTGAATCTACCTTTTCTAATTTTAACATTTATCCTCAAGATAAAAGATTTGGGTTTATAGACACTATGAAACTGCGCTGAATTATAAAAATAGAAGAATTGACTCACCAGATTCTGTACAAGCCTGCTTATGTCCCAATCTCCAGTCTAGAATCTGATGCTCCCTACTGCAGTAATGTGCCTTGTGACACCTGGAACATGTTTTGGGACCTAAACAGCCACAAACTCGGCAAAGGTGAGCGCCAGACTTGAGCTGTAGGCACACAGATTCTGTCGCTGGGGGAGGATCCTCAGAAGGTGGCTCATAGGAGTAAAAGTCATTTTTCCTGGGTAGCTGATTTCTAAAAACTAAGAGGAAGTAAGGAAAACGCTATAAACATTTACAATAAAACAACAAAGCAATTGCAATATTTAAACCTTCCTTCCACGCAGGATTGAACACTCATTTCTTAAGAGACAGAGAAGGCAGTTTTTGCTTTTGGGACGCTTACTTTCAGGAAATGGAAAAAAGTGAAAAGAAAAGTGAAGTGCAGCAAGCCTCCGTCTGGCACTGGTAACGGAGTCGGCTCTTTCAGACTGTTCTCGTTAATAAACGCCGAGACTCACGTCTGGGTGACCGCAGACCTGTGGGCGCCTGGGACCCAGCTCCCGCAGGAAGGACACTGATTCTGACCCAGCAAGACGCTGGGCGCCAGCGAGGGACCCTCACCGCGCAGACCGGCGCAGCACGGCGGCGCCCGACAGCAGAAGACGAAGAGGCCGCGGTGGAAGGCGTCGGCGCGGCTGGGCACCGGCGCGTACAGCTGCAGCAGGAAGGCCAGCGGGCGGCCGCACAGCGCGCAGGCCAACTCCTTGGGCCCCGGCAACCCGGCTGCGCCCAGCCACGCCGGCCGCCCGCCCACCTTGCTGGGGAACTGCTCGCTGCGCAGCCGCCACGCGGGCGCCGCCTCCGCGAAGCCCAGCTCCACCGGCCCGCCGCGGGCGGCCGCCATGGGGTATGTCGACGGCTTCCGCCGCACCGCCGGCCGGGAGGGGTAGTGGGGTGCCGGAAGGCGCGGGGAATGGCGGGCCAGAGGCAATGGCGCCGGAAAAATGGGGCGGGACTGGGGGGCGGAGCCCGGCGGAGGGCGGGCCGGCGACGCCCACTTCGGGGACAGGCCTTGGCCGTGGCGCGTTCTCGCTGGAATTCCCGTCTGTAGTTCGCACTCGGGCTCGGGGCCGCGGCGGGTATGAGGGAGCCCCGCACCCCCACCCCGCGGCTCTGCGCCTCTGGCTTCGGGCAGACGGGCCTGGCTTGCAGGCACTCGTGCACCTCCTCCTTCCGGGAGCGCGATTCCGCTGCCCTGAAGGATGATGACCCAGGCCCGCCGTGGCCTTAGGGAGGGGCCGCGGTGGCGCTGACGAGATCCCTAATATGCATAGGTCCCGCCCCTCGGGGAATGGTTTTGGGGTCAGAGTTCAGGGTCAGGATTGAGTGAGTAAGGGTTAAAGGTTGGGGTATGTCTTGTCAATCAATGGCTTTCAGCCCTGGGCAAGTTCGCTGTGGATTCAGTGTGACCAAAGAAATTGACAGCAAAACATTCTTTGGGGTGAAGGGGTGAAAGGGTTTTTTACCCAGCTTGTTCCCTGGCAGTAGGTCGAGCACTAGCATCTCTGCCTCCACCCAGAGCACTGGACCCAGCTCTCTATATAGCGCAATAATAGTTTATTGCCTAAAGGTGTGGAAGCGGCAGCCTAGCAACTGGCCAGTTACATCAACAGGTGGTTTAAATTCAGTGAGAATCCTGGCCATAGGAACCCCAACTTCCCCACACTCCACCCCTCCAGGATTCTCGCTTTACAACCTACACAATTTCTATCTTCCGCAATCATCCCTGTGCGAGAAAGCTGGAGCCCTGTAACCAGATTACACAATAGCAACAAAGGATAACAACAACTTAGAGATAATAAAAATTAAGATACAGCAAGATTTCGATACAAAAATTATAATAATCCTCAAGCTAGAGGAGGTTCCCAATCCATAAAGACTTTAGGGGTGATAGGACACATGTTTTAATGTCACCAACAGGTAAATCTTGTCCATCAGGTAGGAGGCATGTAAGAGAGTGGTCCTGTGATAGCACTGTAGCAGGAAGGGGGTCCCTTCCAGGTATAGTATACCATACTTTTACTCCTTTCCCCGTGGAGGTTACTGAAGGGTCTATATATAGTGCTACTGGAGGTGCATGCACTGGCCACAATGATAAAACAAAATTC